TGCAACCGCCCACAACGCAACGTTTAACCATCATAAAAGTTTGTTGTGAAAACAACTTCTAACAATTCGCTCTCTCAAAAATAAAATAAAATAGACAAAAAAAACGCCGATTAAAAAATGTATATCGTTTAAAAGTACAGTTGTACATTGAATGACACAGTGATATAAAAGTACGGCCCAGGGGTATGGCTTCCTCTCATATTTTTGCATTTGGTGGCGCACTTTCGGCGAGAGTCGGAAATCCGGAAACAGTCGATCGTTTCAGGATAGGTGGGCGTGGCTACAGCACGGGAAATATCTCAAATTTACTTGGATACGAGTAATCATTTTCAGCAAAAAAATCAATAATTGCCCACTTCAGTGGGGCACAGATTTAAAATGGGAAGCGTGTGGGTGGGCATTGCACAGGCACTTTAAATACAAATAAGTCTGGATATTTAGTTCTCGCAGCACGGTGGAGTTGAACCCAGACAAATTTTCAAAGATGAATAGGGTGTAAAGAAATGAACAATCAAGCATATAAATACACAAACACGAGTATAAATGTTAATTAAATGTACATTTCAACAACAGCCAAGACCACATAATTGACATTATTGCTATGGTGACACAAGGCTATACCAGTAGAACAAACATTGAATAAGCTAAGAACACATTTATAGTTCAGGCAGATTAATTTTAACTGTGCCACTGGGGTGTGAAATGAAGACAATGTTGCAACATACACAAGTTGCATAGAGCAATTAATACACTTGCAATACAATACCTGTACATTATGGCTTAGAATTACATATTGTCATTTTAATTAGCTTTTCTATTATTATTATTATACTGAAAGCGTAATATGCCATTATGTCGCTAAAAGGAGTTTACAAATAGATTTTAGGAATAGATTTTCATTCATATATATTTAGTTGATGTATTTCTTGTTGACAGTGTTATAATGTTTCCATTAGACACTTACGTAGGTGGTCATATTTTTATCATTATTCTTGTAATAAGAATTTATACAACATTTCCATTAGAGACACGTATGTAGGTGGTCATACTTTAATAATTTTTTTTGTAGTACATGTATGAGTGTATACAACATTCCCATTAGAGACACGTAAGTACATTCATTGCTGTATTTTAATTATTAATTTTCGGAAAGCTGACATAATACATCTATGGTACTTGATGACATAGTCAGACATCACAAGAGTGAAATAAAATTTTAAATGCTAATGAAAACAGTTGCTGAATTTTAAATACAACTGATGTATGTATAAGGAAGAGAATATAAAGTCAACAAAAAGACACTTAAAAAATACAGATGCCACGGTGAGACGACAGAAATTCACGGATGCAGACAATGCATCAATACGATGCCATAGTGAGACAGCAGAAATTCTCGAATGCAGACAACTAGTCAATACGATGCCACGGTGAGACGACAGGAATCCACGGATGCAGACAATTTGTCAATACAATGCCATGGTGAGACAGCATAAATCCACAGCTCACCAATCCATGGAGGCAGACAATTTGTCAATAGGATGCCACGGTGAGACAGCAGAAATCCATGGATGGAGACAAATCGTCAATACGATGCCACGGTAAGATGGCAGAAATCCATGGATGTAGACAATTCATCAATACGATGCCATGGTGAGACGGCAGAAATCCACGGCTCACCAATCCATGGATGCAGATTATTCATCAATACAATGCCACGGTGAGGCGGCAGAAATCCATGGATGTAGACAATTCATCAATACGATGCCATGGTGAGACGACAGAAATCCATGGATGCAAACAATTCATCAATACGATGCCATGGTGAAGAGACAGAAATCCACGGATGCAGACAATTCATCAATACGATGCCATGGTGAGACAGCAGAAATTCATGGATGCAGACAATTCGTCAATACGATGCCATGGTGAGACGTCAGAAATCCGTGGATGTAGAAAATTCATCAATACGATGCCAAGGTGAGACGGCAGAAATCCACGGATGCAGACTATTCATCAATACGATGCCATGGTGAGACGGCAGAAATCCATGGATGCAGACAATTTGTCAATACAATGCCATGGTGAGACAGCATAAATCCACAGCTCACCAATCCATGGAGGCAGACAATTTGTCA